AGCTCAGTCCTTGGTCCTTGTGTCCTTGTACGCTCATTTGCTTGGTGACTTTGAACAGGCTTGTGGGTTTACTAGCATCTATATGTCTACAACCCCTGCAGTTTTCTCCCCATCCCAGGCTGCTTTCCCAAATTCCAGACTCATATATCCAACTACCCACTTTNAGCATGAATTGTGGATGGGTAAATATTTAGAGACTTCTAACTAAAAGGGAAGAGTGTGAGAAAGGAGAGGAGATTTGAGGCAGGGAGGAGGCTGGTCACCTGCTCAGAGTGGAGATTTCATTAGGGCTAAACACAGTGGGGTCTGTGGCAACAGCAGGGAGCAGGATCAAAGCACAGAATCTGAAGACAAAACTTGGATTCAAATATGAACTTTGATTCTAACTATGGGACTTCAGATAAGTTACTCTGAGCCTAAGATCTTTAGTTGTAATTGGCAATAGAGGTGGCGATGGTGAAGATAATGGTTGTGATCATCATCACCTAAGGAGGTTGTTGCAAGGGTTAAATGGGGTTCCATTGCAAGAAGCCTCAAGATGGTGCCTGGATAGCAGGCAATACCTCTCCTCTCCACCCCCTCACCAAATACCCATAAAGCCTCAACAAAATTAACTTGTAAGAGCATTGGAATCTAAGTCTGTCAACAGCCTCGTGTCAGAATGTATGAGGAATTAACTGTATCAGTACCACACTTGAAATGTGCATGAAGACGAAGACTTCCTTTTGTCAAAATTCCTTAAAAATCTCTGAAATTGTGTAAAATCATCCTTCACCTGATTCAACTTGGAAGAGACTGCAATTCCTTTGCTGAAGCATCTGATACAGTAGTTGGCTTATGTTTAGGAGCCATATTGTAAGAAGAACTTGTTCTGTATTTCTGAATTCTAGGCTTAAACTAGGATATGTGTGTAGATTTGCGACCCCTGAGAAACGGTAGAGTCACACCTCCCATCTCCTATGCACTCGAGGTTGTGCTCTCGCTCATTGTAGTGGCAGATGAAATTACCACCTCTTTCTTAAGTCTGACCAAACATATAGGGCTGAACTTGTAAAACTAAGAGTAAGGATAAGGCCACGCCACTGCAGCACTGAAATGGACATCATATAACTGGCAATTGACACTGGTATAGTTTGTAACTTGAGGTAACACCGGCCTGAAGGATAGACAAGAAGTGCTTTGTCTTTTCCTATTTCCTTTCCTGGGCTCAGAATCAAACAAAGACCCAACTCAAACAAATATGGGGGTGGGGGTGGCATCTCTAAGCCCTTCATCCCCCTCAATCCCTTACATTGGGGTCTCTGGCATGGCAGAGACAAAAGAGGGTGAATAAAGATTTTCATATCCCAGAATGCAGATTCAATATTGGGGAAAAAAACTGTGAAGGGAATAGTCATGGGAAAGGTGACTTCTGGATTCATTTATTCCCCCTGATAAATCAGTCCTCCCCTTTGTGGAGAGAGCATGAATTCCTTCTTCCACAGCACTCACATCAGATGGCAGAATGCTGTTAGACACTCTACAGAGGGACGGGGGTTGTGAGCATCCATTGCTCCACCTGCTCAAGCCACAAGGAAAGGATTCCAACCAGCTAGATGGTGAGGGTGTCAGTGAGAAGCTGCCTGCTCTGTGTATGGCAGGTGCCAATCCTGGAGAGATTGCTTCTCCTTTCAAGTTAAGGAATAGAAACAAAACACTGTGGGTCTTAGAAAAATCCACCATGTTCAAAATAAGGAAAATGACACTTGTGGATGCAGAGAAAAATCCAATTTTCAACAGAAAAAAAAAGTATTCAGTGTTGGCTGTTTAACCAATGCCATCTCCTACCTTCTTCCTTTCTGGCAGAGCACTGACAGTACTCTGGGCACCCATGCATGCCCCGTGTGACTCAGGAGGATGACCTTATTCCTACATCTGGGGCAAATCCTGATATCCTTAAGTCAATCAGGTGTTCCTAACCCTTTTGCCAAATTTTCAAAAAATTTGAACGAGCTAGGAGGGGAGTTCTATTAAAGTGNGCAACGATATGGATGGACCTAGAGAACATCATTTCTTGTATTAAGTGTCACGCATCCTTCCTGTGAACATCAGTCCTGCAAGGGATGGTGTTGGTGGGGTTGGGGATGGAGAAGAAAGGAATACCGGCTGCACTGCACGATTCCCAGGAAAGGATGAGTGCCTCCCACCTAAGCCACCATCACGTATGGGGACAGATGTCTTCAGGGGCTCTCCCTAAGGACCTGAGGCCTGGGCTGCCTGGGAGACCTGCCGTCTGGCAGAGACAGGCTTCTTAGGAATGGGCACCTGGCAATCTCTGTGAGATGCCAAATGTTTCCCAAACCAAAAATGCTACCAATATGGATATTTGCTCTAAACACATGGCTAGACAGGCTGTAAACTCAGCGTCAGCAACACCAACATGGGAATGAAAAAGAAATGCGTTTGAAATGTAACAACTTGTATTGCTGTAACATTGGTAATCATGTCAATACTGGTGCTAATGATGCTATGAAGACTTGGAACCAAGGGATTTTCAAGGTTTATTAATTCAACTAGTTGGACTCCCTCCTCCCATATCTCGGGCCTCACCTATTCCCTTCCTAACCTCTGATAACGCAGAAGCGATGCCTTTTATCACACCCCATTTCACCAGACGTACTATACTTAATTTTCCATCATTAGGTTTAATGAAAACCCAATTTCACAACTCACTTCTCTCAGGAACCTACAAGTAATGCCCCAATTAAAAAGCGTTATGATGTTCCTATTCGAGAGGGAGCCTTCAAACTAATGTGTGCTTCTGCTGCTAATTCAACAAAGACGCTGGAATTCGCACGCTGCTCATAAAATGTAACTCAAACCAGCTGGCCCAGGGAGAGACAATTTTTCATTTTTCTCCCCTCCAGACCCTTCCTTTTCATGCCATTTCAACTTCTCGTTTATGGGTCTTGCATGTTTATTTATCACAGAATAATAGTTTGGGTTTCTCGTGCACTTTTCCCATAGCTGCTGCTGAAGCTTGTGAATTCCCTTGCAATCCCTCATGTCGCTGCCGGTGAGGGGCCAGTGGGGAAGGCAGAGGGATTCTGGTGACGCGTATGAGGTCCCGGGGTCCCCTTGTGCCTCCGTTTCCTCTTTTCTGTCTCTCTACCACTTCCTCTTCCTTCTTCCTTGGGTACCTGGCTTTGACCTTCTTGCTTTTTTTAATCCCCGGGCTCCTGGTCCTTGCAGACTTCCCTGCAGCTTCAGCCACATATTTTCAATCACTTGCTAGGAACCGTCACTCCAACTGGTTAGCAACTATTTCCTGACTACCTCTATTATACAAAGCACGGTTTAGACACCATGCACACACAGGAGGGTGGGGGAAAGTGTGTTCAGAAGGCGATAAGCATGCCACAGCCCTCGCAGGAGAGAAGGCGAGATAAGATGTGCATAAACAAGTCTTAACAAAGGTGGGAAGGGACAGGCACCTACGAGATGGGAGGAGGATGTGCCGCTGTTAGGCACCATGGAAACGTTTCCTAAGCTTTAGGCATTCACAGCCCACCTCGGTGGGTTTTGCCATAATTATGTACAACCTGTATCAACCTGTATCAGCACTGTCCGATAGAACTTCCCGCAATGATGGGAACGGTCTATATCGGTGCTGTGCAGTATGGTAGCCCCTAACCACGTGTGGCTACTGAGTGTTAGAAATGTGGCTCATGGGACCGAGGAACTGAACTTTACATTTTAACTTCAATTAATTTAAATTAAATATCCACACGTGGCTTACGGCTGCTGTATTGGGCAGCACAGAGTTAGAGAAAGAAGAAGACAGGTAAAGGGAGAATGAATGCTCCGAAGTTACACTGTAGGGCAGAGAGGTCTGGTGGAAATCTACTGCAAGCCGCATATGTAATTTAAAGGTTTTCTCATAGCAATGTTAAATAAGGTGAAAATGAACATGTGAAATTAATTTCAACAATACATTTTACTTAACCCAATACATCAAAATAGCATTTCAACATGTAGTCAGTNAAGAGCATAGTCACAGCTGGCTGCAGCTGGATTCCGACCTGTGTGAGGAAGGGGGCAGAGTCCCTCTGGGGCAGCGAGACAACATCTTAACAAGTTTTCCCTTCTGTTTTGCTTTGCCTTGGTTTATTTGTAAAAGGTGAGGCCTAATGGGCAGGGTCTGAAACCAATGCTGTGAGACAAAACGAAATTGTTCTGCGTAATAGCAAGGAGGGGAGTGTGGGAGGTCTTTCCCTGGCTGATGGAAAAAGATAAATAAAAAAATAAAAATAAATAAAGGAAGTTTTGAGGACCACTGGTATTCAGGCGCTTCCTGTCCTTTGCTGCAAGCTCTCAGTTATTCCCCAAACCTCATGTTGACAACCGCTACTCACAGATCCTTTGTGTTAGAGATGCTTTGGGGAGGAAGGAAGGGATGTCTGGTGCAGAGGGGAGGAGATGGTACAGAGCGAGGGGGCAGCAGTCACTGGAGACGTGGTATTGACTTGGGGGGCTGAGAACAAAGCAGAAGCATGGTGATGAGGCAAGAGGTGACCAGGAGCAAGTAAGCCTTCCAGCATCCCCGGGGGGGACATTTGCTGGCTTTCCTATAACTTGTGGGATGGGGGCTTGAGCCAGTTCAGCTCATACTGATGGGAGCTGTGACTCCAAAGCCTAGACATTTTGGAGATAACTGGGTTATGAGAAGAAGAAGAGAGAGAGAGAGAGAGAGCGGGAAAGAAGGAGGGGATAAAAGGGAAGCATCAGAACCATTTAGACGGTGCTTCTCAAATGTAAAGGGTACACAGATGGCCCAGGTTCTGGTTCAAATGCAGGTAAGTGACTCAGTAGGTCTGGGTGGGGCCTGAGGTGGTGCATTTCCAACATGCTCCCAGGTGATGCTTCTGCTGCTGGTCTGGGGACCGTACTTTGAGTAACCAAGCTTGAGCACCCATAAGCCACCCATCAGGAAGTTTCCCCACAGGCTGGTCGTCTCTTACCTCATATTCCTCCTTGAACCCGTAGCCCTGGCCTCTCTTCATCTGGGTGATGTGCTGCAGCAGGTCCGCCACCCGGATGGCCGGCTGGAACTGGTCCCGAGGATAGCTCATCTCCACGGGGTCACATGCCCGGTAGGGGTGAGTCTGGATCGTGAGCGTGGGCTGGGACAGCTCTCCGCGACTGCCATCTGCTTCAAAGACAAGGAGGCAGAACAGATCGTCACCTATGGAGTTTGGTCCTCTGGCCTCTGTGCCTCCCCCCAGCTGGACCTGAGGAGGGGCAGAAGCAAGTAACTCAGGATTCAACCGCTGAGGAAACTGCAGAAAGAACAGAGACACGCTGCTTCCCTGGCATGGCCGCAGTGGTGGATTTAACAATTAAACCAACAAACCAACCGATGAAAACAATAACCCTTGGTTCATTCTATTTCAAGGGTCTCTACTGATGGCGTAAAGACGAAGCCCAGGTTGGCTGGCCCCCCGCTGCCTATCTCAGTCCTTCCTTGAGGCCCGGCAGGGTGGTCTTGGCCAATCCTGGCTGATGTCAGAGCCACTGAGAAGCCAGACAGGCTGGATATCAGGGGCACCCTCCTGTTTAGGAAAGAGGGTGTCTGGAAATAGTCTCTGGTGCCTGCCTGCAGGCAAGGAGAGTCTCAGATCCCTGGAGATCAGAGCCACCTGTGTGCTTTGGGCCAGCTGCCTGCATCCCTTGTGATCTGGTTTTTCTCTACTGGTTTGTTTCTTTTTCAGCTATACACGGGTGAACTGGAACCAGTCTTGGACCCCCAGCAGATGGCAGTGACCTTGACCCTCTCGTCTGCTCTCTCCAGCTATGGGCTCTGCATCAGTGACCACCTTCTGCCTGCTGTCTACAGTTTCCCCCACCACTTAACAGTCTTGATCCAGAGGTGCCACTGAACCCACCTTGCAATTAGGGAAGCCCGATTTCCTACTTCAGTTCTGCCAGCTACCTCTCCCACGCCTGGGTCCTGTGCCTCACCTCCTTCACAAATCTCTCCTTGGTGTAAGATCGATTCTCTCCCCTGATAGTAATCTTTATACCCATGGGGTTGTTTAAACTCCCTCCATTCGTTTGGCCACCCTGGAAACTGACGCCTGCTGAGGCTGGATTTGAACTCCTCTGTTCCCCTTGGAAGAGTAAGATTACTTTCTTGCCCAACCACCTCCGTTGCTAGGATTCCTTGTTGGTCTTTCATGGACAGGTCATCTTCCTCAGAACTATCTGGGCTTGGTCTGTTCAACCTCCCCACGAAAACATGAGTCTACGCCCTGGGCCTTCTGTTTGTGGCATGCACGAGATGAGAACTGCCAGATTCAATGTGTCTCACCCAGATATGTTCAGGCACAGCACGGCATCCAGGCAGACCCCACTAGGTTTCGGCCATGCTCACTCCCTGGGAGGCTTAGCATATATTCCTGATTCTCTGCAACGTGTCTTTTCAAAATCCACGTTTCCTTCAGCTTGGTTGTCTCTCATGCCCCCACAAGCCATCAGACATTGATTCAGTATGTGAAAAGTGAACTTGCCTCCCGTGTGACAGCCTGAGAAAAAGTGCCCCTGGTAAGGAAAGCATTGCCAATTAAAGATCTAGAGTGTAACGGCTTTATGTGCAAGGCAGATGGGCCTAGGTGAGATGTTAGCACAACCTTCCTGACGGCACAGGAAAACACTGATAACGTTTTCTCCTGGGATTTTAAGTAACAGGTAACACATCCTCACTGGCATTGCTTAAATGTAGCACTTGGCAAATGTAGTGGGGGAGGGGGTCGCGTGGCAAATGTAGTGGGGGTGTGGGCTCCCNTCCCTAGAACACAGGCAATTAGGACTTGCTTATAGCCAACAGAATGTGGTAAGAGTGATGCTGTGTGACGTCCAAATCTAGGTCACAGAGGGTGATGCACTTTCTACCTTGTTAGCTAGGAGGCTCATCTTTGGAGCAATGAACTACTGTGTAAGAAGTCCAGTTTTCCTGAGGCTGCCATACTGTGAAGAAGCCCAGGTCCTCTGGAGGTGTTCCCACTGACAATCCCAGCTGAGATCCCAGCTGACGGCCTGCATCAATTACTAGACATGTGAGTGATGACACGTTCAGATGCTTTTAGCCCCCACCCTTACAGCCTTCCAGTCAAGGCTTGAGGCCTCATGGATCAGACACGTTCTAGCCCTGTGGTGCCTTCAGCGAGCACAAAAAATTGGTTGTTTCATGTCACTAAGATTTGGGGTCGTTTGTAACACAGCAAATGGTATTTTTCACTAGTATACTCCATTATGTGCTAACATTTTACATGAAGTGATTGCAAAATAACTTAAATATTTTTAAGTCTATTGTTTATTTCCTGTTTTCCCTGGTAGAACACAAGTTTCTCATGGCTCTTTGTCCCTGTTGTTCACTGTGATACCTAAAATATCTAGAACACTCTTGGAAGTAGTAAATACTCAGTAAAAATTTAATGCACACATTTGGAAGTGACTGTGCAACTGAACTGAATTTTAGACGACACAGCTTGCTGTAGCTGAGAGGTCCCTTGTATGTCAACTTGTCAAACCCACTCATTTATATGAAAAATCTGAGCGGGGTAGGAGAAAGACAAGCAAGAAACAGAGCAACATAGCATGTTGGTCTGAGAGTAAGATGAGAGACCCAGGAGCCTTATGTTTTATAGGATGGAGTCTTCAAGCAGATTTGTGACTCTTATGCTCAGTATGTAGACTTCAGACATCACAGGAGCTCTGATGATCAAAGCAATATCCAGCTACAGTCTAGGAAAGTGAACTAGCACATTGTGGAAAGACTCCTATTAAATAACGCTTTCCAATTAACTTCCAGTTAATCAGGAAATGCTGTTAACAAGAAGCTAAGCATTTCAGCTAACTGATTAATATAATTTGAACTAATTGAGGTCAAGGCTAGTCTAGTTAGTGATATTTTTGGTTGAGGTCCAAATAATGGAACATGCGGTATTGCCTTTCTCATCATGAAAGCAGTTCATTTCCATGCCAGAAAGTTTGGGAAACAAACAAACAAATAAACGTTGTATCAATGTTAAAATTCATCCCCTTTACCATTGTATTGTAGGTATGAAAGAGTGATATTGACTGAATATTTGTCTGTATGATTGTGTCCCCCTAATCCCTAATGTGATGGTGTTAGGAGGTGGGGCCTTTGGGAGGTGCATAGGTCGTGAGGATGGAACCCTCATGAATGCAATTAGCACCCTTATAAAAGGTGCTAATTGCACCCTTCGTTCTTTCCATCATGTGAGGACACAGAGAGAAGATGGGTGTCTACGAACCAGAAAGCAGGCTCTCACCAGACACTGAATCTGCTGACGCCTTGATCTTGGACTTCCCTGCCTCTAGAGCTGTGAGAAATATATTTCTGTTGTTTATTAAAAAAATAAAAAAAGGAAAGTCTGGAAAATGCAAAAAGGAATTTTTTTTTTTAAAATCAACCATACAGGGATGGATGCTTTTAAAAGAGATCTCATTCAGAAAGGAAATTGTACCACAGTAGTCAAATGTGTTGGTTTTTTGGTTTTGTTTTCAAATTTTAGAATGCAAGTTATTAGAGCAGTGTTTCTCAGGCTTTGACTATGTGTCACCCTTTTTGATAAGTCACATATATCCCTTAATGCTATCTGAAACTTAAAAACAAATGAAATATTATGACTGACATATTAAACCATCATGATATTGGCTATGCCTTTACAAACAACACACCCTCTCTTGACATTCGCTCAACAAATGATCTATGTAGGTATGTACAAGTGCGCGCGCGCACACACACACACACACACACACACACACACACACACACACTTCAAGGGGTGGGAACCATTCAGCCGATTCTCCCTGGGAAATAAGGCCCAGGTACAGGAGGTGATGAGGCCATCTCCTTCAATGCTTACCCCAATATCCTCCCCAAACTTGTAGACTGAGCATATGAAAAACGCTGTTTTACTTAAACCAAGTTTGAAATTAACTGCTGGTTCCCCTGAGCTGGTAATTACTCACCTCCATTGACATAAACGTTTTTATTCTCGTAAATGTGTCAAACATGCCCCTTGCCACCAGGTTTTACACTCTCATAAAGTTTTAAGACTTTAAAGTGGCCCTGAGAAATCACCATATCCAAACTCTTCGAACTCAATGAAGAAAAGAATTTTAGAACTCAGGTAGCAACATGAGGTATGCTACCACCCAACAGCTTGTTGCACCAGAATCCAGCTGCCTGNTTTTTTTTCTGTCACTGGTATCTTAATCTACACAACAGGAAACAAAATTGCATTTTTTTTAAATTGGGGAATTGGGGAAGGGGACCAGGCAAGTTGTTGCTCTTCAGTCTTAGTTGTGGAGGGCGCCAGTTGCCATCTGGCTCTGTCGGCAGCTCGTGGCCTCTAAGCTTAGGATGCTGTGTTACAATCTTAGTTGTGGGTGGGCATAGCCACCATCCCATGTGGGAATCGAACCGGCAGCCTTCTTGTTAAGAGCGCATGCTCTATCCACCAAGCCACCCGGGTGGCAGCTCAGCTCAAGGTGCCGAGTTCAGTCCTAGTTGTTGGTGGGCATAGCTCATCATGGAACAGGCAGTCTTGTTGTTAGGAGCATGTGCTCTCACCAGCTGAGCCATCCTGCCACCTGTTAGCAGCTCAGCAGCAGCTCAGCTCGGGTGCAGAGTCACTGGCCCATGTGGGAATCGAACCGGTGGCCCTGTTACTCAGAGCTTGCGCTCTTAAGCCAGCTCTTAACCAATTGAGCCACTCGGCCGGCCCCAGAAATGCGTTTTAAAAAACATGGAAGAATAAAGGAAGTGAAATATTAAATAATAAGACAACATTGATTTTTTTCAAAACATGGATCAAATGAAGAAGCAACCAAAAAAAAAATAACTTGCTGAGTGAGGCAAGGGAAGACTGTGAGGAAACCCAAATGCAACAGTAGAATTAAAATGGACACTGGGATCCGGAATGAGAATAAGCAGCTGGAAAAACTTGTGGAGAATTCCTTTGAGAACTTGGCAGTGAAAATGCAAGGGTAGACCTGCACTGGGTGGCAATTTTTCACAGAACTGGAACAAATAATCTTACAATTTATATGGAGCCACAAAGAACCCCGAATAGCCACAGCCATGTTGAGAAAGAAGAACAAAATTGGAGGTATCAGCCTACC